GTTCCTCAGCCAGCTTTGCTGGCTGAGGAACTCTGGGAGTTGAAGTCCACAAGTCTTAAAATTGCCAAGGTTGGACACCCCTGTCCTAGATCGTTCCTGGGCTGGGCCTGCTGGTGTCTCTTGATATTTAGTTTGTAACGTCTGAAAAGGGGCCGACCCATCTCCCACTGAAGGGGTGAAAGGCCTGGTTGCTTTCCTCCTCTCTATAATCGCAACCGTGTAAAGTGATGGAAGTACCAGGCCTCCGTCCAGACCAGGATTATTTTATAGTGTTGGGAGCTCTGTGGGAGGGGAAACAGCTCGACACTTTGGGCCCTGCAAAAAGTACCGGTAGTCCTCATCAAATGACTGCCTCGGATAGTGACCATTCACTTACAATGTAAAAGTAACTTTGTGACCAAAGCCCACATTTATTATCTTTGCAGCATCTCTCGGTCCCTGTTCACCATTACAGTCCGATGGTACCTATTGTCCTAAGCCTGACCCATTTTTTTTTCTTTCCCCCAACCCTGAGAGATTGCCTAAAGAAACTCTCTCTTCCTAAGCCGCTGTTTTTGTCTGCGGTGCAGCAAGTTAACAGGCTCAGCTCTGTGACCTTGATTAGAATGGGCCTTGCAGCTGCAGCCTAAAATTATCAAGACCCTAGTCAGTTTCACACACTAAAGGCTTTTGTCTGCCTCCAGTGCATTCCTTTCCATGTGTATTCCTATTGTGCGCTGGCTTAGTCTCTTGTAATCCCTTTCTCTCCAATGAATGTAAATACAAATATCTGTTCTCTTCTTGCTACTTCTCCCAGCATTGGGATGAGCCTTCCAAAGGGTTGGGGAGTGAGAAATGGGGGCCGTAAGATTTCCCCTTTTCGCAGCTGTTTGGGCTCAGCCAGCTTTTGAGATGGTGTCCTGATGCTGTAAAGCAGGGGAAACCTGAAGTAAAATTGTCAGTCACCTTTTTTTCACTTAATGACCACTTTGCTTAGGGACCACGTTGCCAGTCCTAATTGTGCTCACTAAACAAGGATTACCTGTAAAGCCAACATGTAGCATCTTTGCAGCGCTCCATGTTTTTATTAGTAGATTTAGGAGATCCTCAATTTAAAAATGATTCTGGGTGGCTCCTAAGTGATTATGCTTAAAATAGAAAAATCAGAAAAAAGAATTCAGGTGTGGAGACAAGCCACACAACTAGCAACCACCCCAGTGTTGCAAAGACTCCCTTCCCCGGGGCCTGGGAGATCGGGGCATTCTTCCGTCCAGGTTTTCACCAGATGCCGTTCCTCTTTTCTGCCTTTCAGTGGCTGGAGACCAGGCCAAACCGACAGGTGTGTCCTGTATGTAAAGCAGGAATCAGCCGTGATAAAGTCATACCACTTTATGGAAGGGGCAGTACTGGACAACAGGACCCCAGGTAAGACGGCCTCCGCTGGGAACAGCCTTTTGCTCTCAAGTTCTACTCGAGGGGAATTTGTGGACGAAAACCTGTCTGGCTACTCTTGACTCAGATTTAGTCTTCAGGTTTCAGCGACCTTTTCTCACCTGTAAGAATCTCACCGTTCAAACGTTTGTTACTGGTAATAGGTTGCTGCATGTTCTGCCCGTCTCTGGCCGCATCATTCTGGGTGGGGGTGCTGTGTAGCTTCACATGATGCGGCTGGAGATGGGAAATGCAGCGTTCCACATTTTGATGTGTCAACCCAGAAGGCTCACAGGCCAAGAATCAACAAGCAAAGATTGTCAAAGCTCAAGTCTGGGGATTTCTCCTCCCATCCTCTCCCTACCTTAGTAGGAGAGAAAGAAAGATCTTAAGGAGGGACAGATTTAAGCTTCACAGATCATAGTCCAAGTCTGCCCTAGGCAGCTGCACTACTGAACAGGGGAAGCCTTCTTTGGAACTTAGAAATACTAATTAAAAAACAAAAACAAAACGATATCTAGGAGGATTTTGCCTTTTTTGGGGACTTCATCGGGATTCTTTCAGAAGACAATCCGTAACGGTAGAGGCGTTTTCTTCAATGGCTGTTTGCTAGCCACGGCTCAGACATGGCTCATACCAGCCCATGTGGGGTTCTATGACCAGGGTCTGCTGAAACATGGAGGGGGCTCCAATAGGCATGGAAGTTGCTTCTGCATCCCTGGAGTGAACCTTGCCAGGTTTCTGCGCACCTGCAGTAAGGCCATTTTCAGGTTGCCTGCCCTGCCCCCGGGTCTCCCTGTGGCAGCCAGGCCTGCAGCTCTCTTGCATGTCCAAAAGTGCTTTTTCAAGAGGCAGCTGGACTTTCTTGGTTTTGCTTTGAAGGCATTTCGCTTCTCATGCAAGAAGCTTCTTCAGCTCTGACTGGATGGTGGGGAAAAGAAGGATTTATACTCCTTGCAGACAGCTGGTCATTTGCGTTCTTTTTAGAGAGTCGTTGAAGCCACTTGGAGGTTTATCTGTGTCCTCACTGTTGCAGAGCGACTCTGGGTGGCTTATGAAATGATAAAAAGGTAAAGAATACAAAACAGTTGAAATTAAGATAAAATAAGAAACTAAAACCAAGACAGGTGACATTTGGGATGGAGATCTTCTCTGTGCATTGACTGATGCTGTCTCACCACAGGGGTGGAAATGCTGCAGCCGGGTAGCTCTAAGATGAAAAGGAGGGGCTGGGGCCCAGAGGGTGGGGGAGAGAGGCTCTGGGCCTCAGCAGTATTTATTAATTAAATTTATTTGCCGCCCATCTCGCTACAAGGAGATTCTGGGCAGCTTGCAACATCAAAATGAAGTGCTCTCTCTCTCTCTCTCTCTGAGAACATACAGGGGAGAGGTGGGATCTGCTATTAGTCGATCAACCACCTCCAGTGTGATCCTCCCCCGTTGGGGCTTCTAGCCAACTGCTAAATATCCTCATTAAGCCCCATAATGGATTGTGTCTTGCAGGGAGAAAACGCCACCTCGACCTCAAGGCCAGAGACCTGAGCCAGAAAACCGAGGGGTGAGTACGGAGAATATGTGCTTGTGCCTCTCGGAAGTGCAGAGTGAAAATGCAGCCAGGATAGAGCAGTGGTGGATGGGAGACCTTTCAGGCTTGTCTACTTCAGGTCTTTGTAAGCCAAATTAAATATTGCATGGCCATTTGTGTAAAGCAGGGGTGTCAAACTCGCATCGTCAAGTGACGTATCGCAACTTTGCTAAACCGGGCATGGCTGTGGCCAGTGCATGATCCATCTGAGCTGCAGGCCACCAAGTTGGACACAAGTTTGACTGGTGCAGAGAGAGTTAAATTGCTGATAGAAATAATAGTCCGGTGTAGATTTTGCCAACTTCCACCTGCAGTGTGACTATCCCTAAAACAGGAGTGTTGGCAACCTTAAGGCTTATGGACTCCAATTCCCAGAATTCCCCAGCCAGCAAAGCAATTCTGGGAGCTGAATTAAAGTTGAAGTTAAAGTTAAAGTAGTCTTAAAGTTGCTAAGGTTGGGCACCTCCGATTTAGCCAGCGACTTTTAGACAGCAAATTCAGAATTCTGGGAGTTGAAGCCCACAGCTTTTAAAGTTGCCAAGGTTGGAAACCCAGCTTTAAAATATAGTGGGCATCAAGTTAGCCTGCATTACGTGAGGTGCAGCAAGTTGTATCCAAAGAGATTGTGGATGCTGATTTTATAACTAGCAGGCTCTGGAGAAAATGGGCCGCTTCCACCTTTCGTAGCCGCGAGTTGGGGAGCATGCCTGGCCTGACGAAAGAGTTGCCAGTTTCTGTGCAAGTCAGATGGAGCCTCCAGAGGCTGCTCTCGGCTTTCTTTTCCTCAAACAAACAGCTCACCTGGGGGTGATTAAGAAGCACTTTGTTCTTCTACTCCCCAGAGAGCCAAAGCCTTGTTGAATCAGGTGCTGAAGGTGGAGGGCACCTTTTTGGCATGGCTTGTGCCTGAAGCTCCCCTGGCAAAGTGCAGAGGCTGCCTTGCCCAGCCTGGAGGTGATCTCCGGTCCTCCTTTTGCTATGGGGATAAGCTCAGGCTGCTCAGGCAGTCTTTCCTCTGACCAGCAAAGACCATCGTGCTTCTCTCTTAAAGTCTTGGGGGAGCTAGCATGCTATCAACTTGTTGAATTTAAATTGGAAACACGTTTGCACCCAAAACAAACTCTTGCACCTAAAACAATCACCCGAGAATACACTCAACAAAGCCCTGAAAATCAGGGCTCTGGTAGTGCCTTTCACAGCTTAGAAGATCTGTTAAAAAGCATAAACTTTCATGATCTGTAGCTCAAGCATCAGGAGCCTGCAGCACTTTTTCAGACGGACCCATTTAATGAAATAAAATGTAATCAAATGTTTGTCGAACACACTCTGGTGTTGTGGGAAGGGAAATGGTGCCAGGTTCATAAAGTAGTTTGGTCTGGGATGCTACTTTCAGCTCATCATGTTCTCACAGTGCCCGCTTGGAAGTCCGTCTAATCTACTGAAAGAGGCTGCAACCAGTCAGATTTTAGTTTGTAAAGTAAGACATACATACATACATGATGATTGTTTGTTTGTTTGTAGGGTTTCCAGGGTTTTGGGTTTGGAGATGGAGGCTTCCAAATGTCATTTGGAATTGGAGCATTTCCATTTGGCATATTTGCTACAGCCTTCAATATAAACGATGGCCGGCCTCCTCCAGGTAAGGAATGAGATAAAATTAGCCTGGCTAATTGTGACTGGGTGGTGTTGCTCTGTTGAGCTTCAATTGTTGTGCAACCAAGTATTCTGATCTGTTTTGCTTAACTATTCATCCCTGAACCAATGCTCATCTATTCACTTAGCCCGATGAGCGTCTGTACGGTATATGACCCTCTTCAGAGTCACTACCTGATGCGTTATAGCAGGCTGTAGAGAACAGAGACAACCCCTTTGGGAGATCTTTGCAAAACCTGGAAGAATACAGAATAATGGAAGGAAATTTGGAGGTCTTCTACTCCAACCTCCTGCCCAAGCTGGAGACCATATACCATTCTGGAGAACTAGCTGTCTTCTTAAAAACCTATGGTGTTGGAGTACCCACACCTTCTGGAGGCAGGCTGTTCCACTGATCATTTTTATGGCCTTCTATTGCAGGGGTTTCCAATTGCAGGGGTCTCCAACCTTGGCCACTTTAAGACTTGCTGGACTTCAGCAAATCTGGCTGAGGAATTCTGGGAGTTGAAGTCCACAAGTCTTACAAGTGGCCAAGGTTGGAGACCCCTGTTCTATTTGGACAATTGGCTAATGCACCAAAGCCTTGCATTGGGGTGGCCTCTCCAGGGCAGCTTCCTGCCAAGGCAGGAACCCACAATAAAGCATTCCCATCGGATGTCCATCCAGTTTTTAAGATATATCTTGGATATATCCAGGGAA